TAACACTGCTTTACATTATTATAAAAATAATGAACCAAAAGAAGATCAAGAAGGTTATATGAAAAGGTATTAATTATTATAAAATGATATTTTTAATATATCAATGATATAATAATTTCTTTTGTAATAGATTAGAAATATATAAAGAATTCATCACATTATTGGATCACCTCTACAATCAAAGCATCTCTAATCCATTAAGTCCCACTATATCTAGTAAAGCTGGATCTCCAGCACAAAATAATTCCACAGTTCCTGTTACTCCAGCAAAAGAAATAGTAAGATATAATTTTTTTTAAGCTAAATTGCTATTAAATTTTGAAAAATGGAATGAAACTTCTATATTCGTATAATTTTATATACATATTTTTTGATAAAAAAAATTTTTCAATATGCATTCAAAAATTCAATATTCATCAAAAGTTTCTTACTGCATAATTCTTTTTATAGGATTATAATTTCTCAATAAAAATAAATTTCTGTTAAATTTATATTTATTTATATATCCAGTTCATTGGTTCAAGATTAAGAACCAATTATTTTTTTTATTGTTAATTCAATTCTAAAAATTTAATATTCTTCTCTAGTTATAAATATATTATATGTATCCATTTTTCAGAAATGAATTAATGACTAATAAAAATTCTGCTACATGATATTTTGTATTAAAATTTATATTTTAGTTACAGAATATTATAACTGATGCATTACATTCTACATGTGAAATTCTCCATGCTTCAGTGTATGCTTGGATGATGGAGAGAAGACTTCATGGAGAACTTATAGCTCTAGCAGCACCTTCTTTAGAAACTTATCTTACCCGTGTTAATGCACCAGATTTACTCTGGCAGTTTTATGAAAAAAATAAAAATCATGCTGCTGCGGCTAAAATCTTAGATGCTTTAGCGACAAAAGAGTATGTATAAAAATACTTAATTGCTATAATCTTTATTATATAATTGCTATTAAATTTATTGATTTTTTTTAAATCAAAAAACTTTTCATTTTTCATTTCTTTTAATAGATCAAATATACCGTTGTCACAGAGAGTTGAATATTTAGCTCGAGCAGTAGTTTGTATGCGAAGCGATCAAGCTGGATATGCTCCATATCTTGATATATTTTTACGTGAATTAGAAGACAAAGTAGAAGTTGCTAGAATACAACAACAGGTACACAATTATAAATATATCATATATTATATATAAAAAATAGATTATATTATATAGCAGATATAAATGTACAATTATAAATATTATAGCAGAACTAGTAAATTTATTTAGAATATAATTTGTATGTTTATTGTTTTACAGATATTAGATACGATTTGTAATCAGCATCTTAGCGATCGACTTAATGAAGAAGTATTTAGAGCATTAAATTCTTCATTACTTGATATTACAAAGGTATATTTATAACTTATAATTATAACTTAAGTTATAAATTAAATAATTTTATTATAACTATAATTAGCTGTAATTTAAATAATTAAAGCTATAAATTAATTATTTTATAATATATGAAACTAATTACTAGTACTTATAATTAATTACTTTTTTATTTATTAATTATAGTTATATGAAAAATATGCAGATCCTCTGCAATTATCAGAGTGTAAATTAGCTATAATTCATTGTTCTGGTCATCAAGATGCAATGTTAATCCAAGAAATTTGGACTAATATTATAAACAATGGTATTCAAATTTTTTTTATTTTATATATTTATTATTTTAAATTATATTAAATAATTTCATTTAAACAATATATATTCATAGAATTAAAAGATGCATCAACAGCAGAGGATAAGATGACTATTTTAATGAGTAAAATTATATCTTTGGGACAGGAATATTCAGGATCACCACATTGTTTTCCAGTTGGTAATAATTCTTTTATGATATAAAATAATAAAAGTTTTATTATTTGAAATGGAATTGCAAAATATATTTTTTATATTTTTTTTTAGACTTCCTGATAAAACAATTAGAAATAAAAGCATGTAAATTAAATGTATCAAATACTGGAATTATATCTGGATTTTTGCAATTAGGAGTATCAATGGAAGATCTTTTAGATATATATAAGTAAGTATAGTATAAATACATAATAATAATATATATTTAGAATTAATACATAAGAAAAAATATTTCCTGTTAGAATGATTGGCAAAGACACTCGAACTTGGTTAAATGAAGGAAATGAATTTCATCTTATTGAATCAACTGCAAATTTAATCAATTATTTCATATCGCATTCAAACATAACCAATACTTTCATCAAGTAAGTCTTTCATTTAGTAATCAATCAATATGATCTTTTATTATTTTTTATTAATAGTTATTAATTAATTTAATAATCTAATAGTAAAAATTTATTTATATATTTATTATATATAAAAATTCTATTTGACTAATATTAATTACAATTGATGTTAATATTAATTACAGACGAAAAATAATAACAAAATGCCAAGATGTAATTTCAAAATGTTTACTTACTTTACAAACTAAACCTCATGGACAAGAATTGATAACAAGACTTAGATCAATTCAAAATGTCTTAAATCGTATGTAAAAACAAATCTCTACTATTGAAATAACATTTTATAAAATTGTATAAATACTTGCAAAATACGACAAAACAGATTATTCCATCAATAAAAATTTGTTAAAAAATAATATAAAATGTAAATATTTAAAAATTATAAATGCTTAACTAACTTTTTTATAAATGTTAATGTCTTTTTCTATAAAATCATATTTAGTAATATTTATAATATGGATCATTCTTTTTATCATGTTAATTATGTAATAATAAAAACATTTTATACATTTTAAATTTAATGTTTTTAAATTTAAAACTTTTCCTTTAATAATATTATATTTATTATAATTGTAACATTGCATGTTTTTAAAATTTTTACTTGATGCAATAAGAAATTATTTCATTAATAATAAATATTTTTTATAATTGTTTTTGTTAAAATTTTCAATATTAAAAATTATAAGGAATATATGTAAACATGAAAATATATTTAAAACAGAATTTGTTATATACTATATTACATGGCAGTATTATTTTTTTTATAATTAAAATTGAAAGAAGTTCCAACATTTAAAGTTTTTTTGTTGGTCCTGAAAAGGACCGTTTTTATAGGATATTATTTCTTCTTATTTAGAACTGGTATATTTGGTAACTGCTTTAGTACCTTCGCTAACTGCATGCTTGGCTAATTCACCAGGTAATAAAAGTCTCACAGCAGTTTGAATTTCACGAGAGGTAATAGTAGAACGTTTATTATAATGCGCCAATCTTGATGCTTCTGCAGCAATGCGTTCAAATACGTCATTCACAAAACTATTCATAATACTCATTGCTTTACTCGATATACCAGTGTCAGGATGCACTTGTTTAAGCACTTTATAAATATAAATAGCATAACTTTCCTTCCTCCTTCTTTTTTCTTTTTATCAGCTTTACTAATATTTTTCTGAGCTTTACCAGCTTTTTTCACAGCTTTCCCACTAACTTTTGGCGGCATAATGTCAATATAGAATACTCGAATTTGTTATTTTTTACACAACGTTACCTTTACAAGTGGCAGTTGTAGAGTGATTTTATCGGATTACGTCTTATTTATATAATAGAATGAGATAGCAATGGCGAACCAATTGCAACGACCCATGGTCATGGACTGAAACTTCTTGTTATGTGATTGGTGCATCGGTGCCATTGTTACCTGAAATTGATTTCATGCAATATATTCCACGTATGGTTATATGTTTTTTTATGTATTCTAAACATATGTAGTTTATTTTTTTTTTAATAAAAATATATTATATTACATAAAAAACAAATGATATAACAAAAAGTTTTTTATCTGAGTGATACATATAATATAATTTCTGTTCATAAATATTTATATGTTAATTAAATTATGTTAGTCATATATTTGTATTTAAAAAGTATTAAATAATACCTGAAATTAAATAAATTCTTAAATAATATTCTTTATACTATAAAGAGAAAAAAATTATGAAATCTATATTTATAAAATTTTTAAATAATTTCATTCTCAAATAAAAATTTCGAATAAAATTTTAACTATTATAAATAGTTTTTATAAATAATGTTTATAAATGTTATAATATATATATATATATAATTCAAGTACATAATATATGTAACAAACATATAAGTGAAGATTGAAATGTTATAATATAATATAATATATAATATAGTAAATATAGTAATTACAATATAACAAATAAAATAGTAGTAAAAAATTTTATATAGAAAATAATATTGAAATATTAATACACATATATTTAACATTAATTAATTGTAAAAAAATAATGTTATATGTACATATATATATATATATATATTATGATTCGCTAGAATATCACCATCTAAATAATATGATGATATTCTCGTGTTTGTATGTATCATTTGTTTATATATTCTTAATTTTAATTTTGGTATTCTTATTTTCATTTCACACATACATATGCAATGATACAACTTACGAGACATTGACAGGAATCTATTGACAAATGGTATACAAACATGAGCATATTGCAATACTTTTGTAGTATTACTTTTAAATCCTAAAATAAATTATTTTGCATTATGTTAAAAATTAAACGATTTTAATATTAATTATATTAAAAATTTTTATTTTTTATAATTTTCGAAAATTTTAAATTTATATTGTATAATTTATAGATAATATTATTTTTTTGCTATATTTCATATATACATATTTATGTATATTTTATTTAAATTTTTATTTTAAGAATTTATTATAGAAATTATTAACATTGTAAATTATTTAAGATTAAAATAATAATTTTTAAAATATGTACAATTTATCATTTTTGTTGAAAGAAAAAGTAAGTTGCGGTATGTAACATTTTTTTCTTTAAACCAATCAGATTACTCTTCGTTAATCATTGGATGAAACGCAACTACGACGAAAGCTTTATATACCTGAAAAAAAGAGTAGGATACAGTTTCTATTTGTTCGTTGAATCACGCAGTTGTATTGTGTTGTGCAACGTTTATTTGTATCGAAACACTGATACGAAATGTCTGGTCGTGGAAAAGGAGGAAAAGCAAAAGCAAAAGCAAAATCTCGTTCAAATAGAGCTGGATTACAATTTCCAGTTGGACGTATTCATCGACTTTTAAGAAAAGGAAATTATGCAGAACGAGTTGGCGCTGGTGCTCCTGTTTATTTGGCTGCCGTTATGGAATACTTAGCTGCTGAAGTTCTGGAATTGGCGGGAAATGCTGCACGAGATAATAAGAAAACGAGAATTATTCCAAGACATTTACAACTTGCAATCCGTAATGATGAAGAATTGAATAAGCTTTTGTCTGGTGTTACTATTGCTCAAGGAGGAGTTCTTCCTAATATTCAAGCTGTACTTTTACCAAAAAAAACAGAAAAAAAGGCTTAAATTTTAAGTCAAATAACAAAATGGCCCTTTTCAGGGCCACAAATTCTTATCTACAAAGGAACATTTTGGTTTCATAAAAATAATTAATATTTTAATGAATTTTAACAAAGATTTTTCGCAATTTATCATGATTTTTTATTCATATTATTAACAAGATAAGCTTCAAATTCATTTTTAAATAAATCTTTTTTAATCTTCAAACCTTTCTTTTAAGAAATTAAAAAATTAATTTCATTTACATATTTAATTCACTAACATTAATTTACATCTTATCTTATAATAATTCGATTAAACAATTGTTATTTTTAATTTTGATAATTAATAATCTATTAATACATTACTTTTTACTATACAAAAACTTTTATATATATATATATATTTAAATTTATATATATATTAAATTGTTTAAGAATTAAAATTAGATAAAAATCCATGAGTTCTATAATTATCAGGAAACAACTTTTTTTTATAACTTTTTAATTAAAGAATTTTTGAATTTAGAATAAGTAATATATATTTTATATATATCTATAATCAACATTACGTAAATTTATGATGTACTGAAATTTGTCACAAGATATTATATAGATTAAATATTTTACAATAGATATTATTTAGTTAGTAAATTTAAATTAATTATAAATAACTATTGTATTATATTGTAATTTTTTACAAATTTAATAATAAATATGTAAATAGATATATTTAAATATAAATAAGCAGAAAATTATATACATAATATAAAGATATAAAATTATATATATTTATAAAATTAATTAAATTTTAAAAATATAAAAGTTCTTATGGAAATACATTTTAATATTTAAATATTTATATATAGAATGATTAATATTCTTTTTTTCATAAAAATATTATAATGAAAAAAAAATATTACAAAAATAAAAAATATATAAATTTTTAATATGTTCCAAGATTAATTTTGCAAAATTATTTATTTTATGTAAATATATTGGTAGCACTTATAAAAGAGAATGGAAACATCCGAATCCGACTTGAAGTTGCAGTACTGATATGTAAGTATGTACGGTAGTTTTGTTGAACGACTTATGCTAATATGATTTTATATTTATATTATGAAACGAAAAAAGATAGTTAATTTATAAATATGAAGTATTTATAATTATATAATCAATTTTTTGGTGGTAAGATTTAGATCAATTATTGAAGACATCATTTAATTTCTATGTATATAACCTTGTTCCTTGTCAATACGTGGTACGTTAACTTTAGAACAATGAAGTTTATAAGATAAAATTTTTTTTCTCTTGATATAAATAAAAAGTATAATATTTTATATTTTAATTTTAAGTTACAGTATATTTAATATTTTCTTTTTTATAAGATCAAAATTAAAATCACTTTATAATATAATTTTATTTGATAATATATTAATGTTTCATAACTTTTATTCTTAATGTATGTACAAATGTACATACAAATTTTATATATTGAAATTGTTTGGAATATAAAAGAGTTTTTTTTCTATTTTATTATAAATATTTATTTTTATTTTAGATAATAGCCTAAAGTGAATAGACTTCTCTTAATAAGACGGCATGTTTGTAAGAATCTGGTTGCGAATTCTCACGGGGGATGAATGAGGAAGAATTATTGAAACGGTCTGCTGCAGAGCGAGATAGAATATTTAGCTGCTACGACCGTGGTAGAGAAAATGGAGCAGAAATTGACCCTTGGGAAGATCCTACTTTTGAAGTATATCATACTACAGACAGATATGGATTCATACAGTAATTATAATAAAAATTATAATAATATTATTATTATTTTTTATTATATTAATATTTATATTTTAGTGATAAACGTTTGCCACAAAAACCAGATCCTAATGAAATTAAGACTCACCGGGTAGAAATGGAAAGATTAAAAAAATGGGAAAAGATGACAAAACAATGGGATAGTTCATCAACTAAAGAAAAATTACGACGCAGAATATATAAAGGGATTCCTAATAGATTTCGTGGTCAAGTGTGGGCATTGTTATTGGGTATTAAAAATTTAAAGAAAGAACAAGCTGGTAAATATGAAGAAATGTTACAACTTGCGCGTCAATGGTCTACAGAAATAAGACAAATTGATGCTGATGTAGCTAGACAATATAGAGATCATATCAATTATAGGTATACAAATTATGATTAATAATATAAAAAAACTTATATATTTATATAATATATATTTATTAGAAGTTATGTTAAATTTTTATTTTTATTTTCAACAGAGAAAGATATAGTATAAAACAACGTTCTATGTTTTATGTATTGGCTGCATATAGTATGTACAATATGGAAGTGGGTTATTGCCAAGGAATGTCTGTATTAGCTGGATTACTTTTATTATATATGGATGAAGAAGATGCATTTTGGGGTCTTTCTGTTTTACTTGCTGATAAGAAATATACCATGCATGGTTTGAATATGGGTTTATATATTTAGTATTAGAAATAGTTTTTATTCAATACTAAACAAATATACTTATTTATAGGATTTTATGTTGATGGATTTCCAAAATTAAATCGTTTCATAGAACATCACGATAAAATAATGAATAAATTTTTGCCGAAATTGAAGCGAAAACTTGATAAATGCGGTTGTGATTCTATCCTTTATGCATTAAAATGGTTTTTCGTTGTTTTTCAAGAAAGGGTAAGAAAATATTTTATAATTTATTGCTCTAAAACATTTCAAAATTTATTTTTATGTATTGTATATATATTGTATCTAAATATAATTAATTATTTACAACAGACACCTGTTAGTCTTGGTCTTCGAATTTGGGATATATTTTTATTAGATGGAGATCGTATTTTACCTGCTATGGCATACACAGTTATGAAAATGCATAAACGTTTTCTTATGCCAATGGAAAGTTTAGATGAATTTTGTAATTATTTGCAAATTAAACTAGAAAAAGATTTCTGTTTTGATGATGATACAGTAATAAGTACTATGGAACGTAGTATGGAAGAATTAAAACGTGCCAAATTGGATTATCCAGGTCCTCCATTATTGCATGAATTACCACGATATCCATTTGGTACTTTTAAAGAACCTTCATTTGCAAGCAAAGTAATATATATTACTTATATTATTTTAGATATTAAAAATTAATACATAGAAAAAATTAATCAAAATACTTTATATTGTGTATTTAATATATTTAGGTTGGTAGACGTACCGAAGAATTTAGCGAAGCGCAACATGTAATGCGAGAATCTATAACACAGCGTAGAGATCTTGTTCTTGCTGAAGATGGTAGAGAAAGCACAACACCAGTTGAACAAACTAGTTGTGGTCTTGGCGGTGAGTTATGATATAATAAAAATATAGTAAATAGTAACACAAATATTTTCTTTCTATACCAGAAACAAGAAAAAATTATTAAGAATGAAACGAAAAATGAAAATGATACTTTCTTTTCAAAGATAAGATTTAATATTAAAAAAAATATTATGTAATATTGTTCAATCATATGTGAATACAGACACACACGCACTCACGCAAAATATAAATAAAATATAATTAAACATACATATATATAAAATTTTAAAGAAATATTATGTTCGAATAGTATAATCTTAAACAAATTTTATTATAGATTTAATATCATTATACAAAACTATACTTATTTTAAACTATATCAAAAGCTATTATTGATAAATTGTTTATATAATAAAAAGTAAAAAATAATTCTAAATAAATTATAATTATTTAGAATATTCAAAAAATTTTATATAAAGAATAAAAAAAAACTAAAATATCAGTGCATATTACAAAATATTCTTACAGCAATATTAAATTATCATATTATATAAATTTGATTAATTGATATTTTACTTATAAAGAAAAGTAATATAATTCTATAAATAATTCTATAAATAATTATAAAATTATAATTTCAAATGGATTACACTTATATGAAAGTATTCTATCAAAATATATTTGTTTCAATATGTTTCAATATGTGAATAAAAATTATATATATGCGCAGGAAGCAAATTCTCATTTGATCCGAGTCTTGACGATGGAGCCTCTCCCAATGGTTCACGCCGATCATTGGCAGATACATCTGTTACCTCAACAGCCGATCTTTCTGTATTTAGTTCGGCAACGCGGTCTCAAGCCTTAGATAATAGTCTTGATACTCAAAGTAATATTTCTAATGCCAGTTCTGGTAGTGGTGGTTTACCCACACCTAAGGCAACGCCTCATCAACCAAGTCCAGATGTTGTACGAATTTATGTACCATATACTTCACCTATATCTGGTTCGTACAAAGATGATCTTCCACGTACACTTCCGCGGTCTTTAGAAACTAATAGAATCCGCATACGAGTCGATCCTGATCAAACACCAATAGTGGAAAATTTGAAACCTTTTTCATTAGAAAGTCCAGAAGTCAAATTAGATTTAAAATAATTATCCTATTTGTTCAATAGTTTTAGTATTTCATGATGCAGAAATCAATTCATGACATTGTAATAAGTATTAAAGAAAGATTTAGATAAACAAAATTTTATTATTGTTTTATCTATATCTATATTGTAATATATATAGAAAAGTGATATTCGAAGCAGTAATTATGATAGGAATGAAAAATGAATATTAAATGTGCATATGAATGTGCATAGTACGTATGATTATTTTTTTGCTGAAATAGCTAATCGAAATATCAATGTAAATTTAATAGTTCTCTCAGATAGAAATCTGTGTATGTCACATGCACTAATTATGAATATAATTGTAATTGTTATTTGTCTTGAATTGAAACTTATTACATTCTTGTGATGGCCTAATTTATAATTAAACAAAAATAATTTGAAATGTATAATAGAAAATTGTTATTTTCAATATATTATATATTATTCTTAATCGAATGATCAACGATATTTTTAAATAATGAAATTATATCTATAACTTGTCAAGTAATTCTAAAAATAATTATATAATTTTTATAGTAAGTCAAATTATGTTTCAAAGAATGATAAGATGATGGAACTTTATGCAAAATGAAAACGGATTATATATTAAAATTATTTATAATATTTAGAAAATCTAAAAAGAA